AACTTCTCATCTTCAGGGTTGTAAGTTTGTATAATCCGACATACCGTCGCATCACACTTTTTGAACAGTTTTGGATCAAGCTCGTGAACACGAATAGCATCAATCATGACCCAGAACGGGGTTTTCTGCAACTGTCTGATGTGGCCATCGTGTAATTCTAATTCCAGCACTGTGCTAATCAATCCTGTAATGTTTGATCGGTACATTAATTTTGACGGATCAACATCAGCTTTTCGAACATGATCACAGGGCCCTTTTTGTTTCTTTAATGGGAGTTTTGATTGTCTTTTACTGGCCATCTTTGTCGACGTTTGTGGTGATCTCGTGCCAATATTTCGTTTACCATTCTTACTACCACTGCTACCTGAACATGTGTTACATGCAAATTAGCAGGAACAAACTAAAACTCCCAACAACACACGCAAAACATCATGAACCATATCAACACATCATACCCCACCAAACAAACGACACCAATTAACACCACGACAATTTCCACCACCATGTAAATCACCAAAAAAACTCATACTTTCACGCCCCATGTCATACTAGAAATGTAAAATATGAAAACAACAGTAACATCACACACCAACATTTGTTTAAATTTCCAATGCACAGTACATGACGAGGACGTATTACATGCAACACTATAAAAAACCAACCATTTTCACTTCCCCACAAACTCATTTCACTATTTTATTTCACTATTTTGTACTACATTACATACAAACGCAACGAACCATAATTATGCATTCCTGAAAAACCATACAACATTTACAGTCACGCTAACTAGATTAGGTTAATTTATTAAAAAACAATACACATCTGTCACCACTTTACTATGACTTTAATATTGTCTAACACATTACATAACATCAGTACGACTCATCACACAACAACAAAAAATACACACAAACAATAACGCCCCATCTCAAATATGCAAGTACACCACTGCCATATATGTTGAACACCATTACTATTGCCTTCAATGTAAAAATCACAAAAACACCATATACACACCCCCACAGGTACATGATAATATGCACCACCAACAAAATAGCTAAACCATCTTCCCCTCCACCCCCCCCCCTAAATAAAAAAAAAAAGAAAAAAACCCAGGACACACCTAATCACAAAAGTGCATTACCATCACATTTACAGTTACCACACTAACATTACCACAAATTCCCAAATTCACAGCCCTTAACGGGCCAACAACATTGACAAACTACCCTATGCAACAAGCATGCATTTCACAAAATCCTCCATATTAACAACTCTACATTACATTCACAATATTCTGCAGTTCGCCTAGTGCTACACACATCACAATTTCAAAAAATCTCAACCACGCGAACACAAATGAAATCAAGGGTTGATGTATACAAATGATTAACGTACCTGGAGCCATTATTGGCAAACACGGTCACTTGCACCGGATTACGACGGTTTTCCAGTCACTGCTTCAAAGCACAACAGCGTCTCAACCACCCACACCGCCGACGTGGATGTACCAAGAGCGAAGGGGTTGCATATTTGCTAGGGATTACGGTAAAATACAAATTCATATTCTATTGTCCCAATCCACACGAATTTCACATCGTCAAATAATAACCAACAACTGCACTATCTAACATTACGCCATTAACATCGGCGTACTGCTAAAACTTTCATACACGACTCTTCGATTACGCTCTGTTTGGGGGGAAAACAAACATCTACAGAGTAAAGGTTTTGGGGATTTCAATCAATACGACGTTGGGGTTTTCCCCATTTGCCCTTACTAAAAAGCGCAAAACATAGCGTAACACTGGTTATTTTGTCATTAACATTAAGTTGGGACTAATTGGATCATAAGATAAAATATAGGACCAAATGGGTCATAAGAAAAAGATTTGAGATTTATTGGTGCATCTCCCTAATTTATTATGTCTTTCAAAAAATGAATGGTCTAATTTCCAAATATTCTTATTTATTGTTCATTTTTTTTACAAATAAATGTCATAAACTAGCATAACTACTATGAAATACGGGTACTCCAAAAATATTATCGTACTCAATGGCGAAGCCAGAAAATCAAATTAAAGGGGCAATTATTAATAACAATATCAAAAAAATTTACAAAAATATTTCACGCAAGTTTTTACGATTGATTTCGAGAAACATCAAAAAAATAATGTTACTTATAACTAATATATCATGGACAATATAAAAAAATATAGATATAAGTCTTAAAATAAATTATATAATGATAAATTATTTTTTTATGCAAAATTTGATTAAAAATTCAATATAATGGTAATACCACGTCATTATTAGTATGTGATATCACCAAATAATAGTCAATAAACATATAGAGAGTAAACCTCGCATGTCAAATGTAACTAACAATCTAATAAATTCCATATCTTTATAGTGAGATTACTTATACTTGCATGTCAATAATAATGACATCACCGTTACATTCAAAAAATTTCATAAAATTTTCATAGATAACATAGTTTATAATAGTCTCTTCATTTTCAATCAAAATAATCATTATTGTTCTCATAATTTTTAAAATGTCATTGACATTTCACTCTAATAATATTTTTGTAATTTTTTTTATTTAAAATATTTTGTTTATATTTGCACACAAAAAAAAAAAAAAAACCCCCAAAATCCAAGGGGGCCATGTAACCCCCTGGTCCTCACTTCCCTCTGCCACTAATCATACTTATATCGGGTACTGATACGCTTACCAATAGAGTTGCATGCGTACTAAGTACTCAAAATACGTACCGAATAAGTTTTATACATTCTTTGTCAGTTGGGTATTCCGTGGGTACGGGATACCTACCTATAGGACATTGATGGAGATATGTTTAGTTTATTAAAAGAGTTTTGATTTATTTGAAATTGCAAATCCTTTACTTGATGTACCAGAGATTAAGAAAAAAAATGTATTATTCAATGATGAATTTGATGAAAATGAAAATTGAAATTTCAAATTTTGTGTAATTTGCTTTTGGAATGAAGCTGTTTTGTAATTTTTCCTATTTAATGGTTATTAAAATAGTTTATGGACTTTACTTTTGTATTGGTATTGTTCTACTATAATTTATCTTTTGGTTTTGTAATTTTTATTTTTAATTTTGGTATTGAATTTTGATTTGTAGGTTGAATTTCAAATTATAAATTATAAAAAAATTAAAAAATTATTGACATATCACAGTCGTACCCGTATTTTTTATATTTTTTTAGATATTACCATATTGGTGTACCCATATAAGTATCTGTATCCATTCTTATGTTTCATATCGAATCGATCTTATTTTTTTTATAAATAATCTATACGTTGTTATATAAAAAATAAATTATTCAAATTATTAAGTCGAAACCGTGATAGATCCCACATTGTTTACCCCAGTCCACTTTGCTCAAAGAAAACCTAATGCCGTTGAATAATTTCACCCTCTACGTTGCGGACACCTAGGAGGCTAAGGCCAAAGCATCTTCACCTTATTTGATTCCAATTTTTTAACTGAATTTTTAAAAAATTTGAGTTTTTTCATATTTTTTATTTTTAGTAAATTTTTTTAATATTTTAAGTAATTTCTTTTAATTTTTAAATGTAATTAACTTAGATTTATCTATAAAATAAAATATTTCTAAGAAAACATTTTTAAAAATTAATATACATACAAGAATATGAAAATGTATTAACTTTTTATATTTTGGGTATTTAGCGAATTTTTAAAAAAAAAATTTACAAATATTATATATTTTTATATATATTTATGTTAGGTGTATCTAAAACTTAAAAAAAAAAAATGTTTAAAATATTAAAAAAATTCAATAAAAAAATACAACAACAAAAAAAAAAAAAAAAAAAAAAAAAAAAAACTTTTTAAAAAGTATATTCAAAATTCTAAAACCAAATAAGGTGGATAGGTTTTAAAATAACACAGCACAAGTGCATTACTTCACCTGGCCAAACCCACATGCTTTTGGCACTTGCCAAATTGCCTATGCCCAAACAAACTAACCACCAAAAAATAAAACGAAATAGCAGAGCAAGAATAGCAGTCTGTAGCCCAAGACTCTATTGGCATAGTTTTAATTTTAAATAATGAAATCAGATATGTATCAATATTAACAAGATATTCATATCAGACAGTGTTAAACGTTCCAAACCTAGTTTTTTTTTTTTTCTTTTGAACTGACGTTCCAAATCTAGTTGACCGTCATTACAAAACGTAATAGATGATTTTTAAAAGGAAAAATTGCCAGTAAATCTAAATTGACGAGTTCGTTCGGCATTTAAATAATTTAAAGATTTTTCTTATTTGGTAAGGACAACCATTGAAATGTCGTCAATGGCCGATGACGGCAGTTAGTGCTAGTGAGGTGTAACATATATATAATATTGAACAAATAAATAAATAGATTAATGGCATACATAATTAGTAGAACATTTGACAACATAATAGCATAGATAGGTAATACACATGTTGATAGTGGGACATTTACACAGATAGTTAAATATTTGAATCACTTGTCACACATATAGATGACATATATACAAATAATGAAACATTTGAACAAATAATTAGTAACATGTGTACAAATAATAAAACATTTAAACAAACAGTCAGACATTTAAATCGATATTTGCACAAATAGGCAACCCATGTACGGATAGTGAAACATTTGATAGAACTAACATTTGATTATACTGACAAATAAATAAGCATTGAACAAAAATGTATTCTTTTTTAACAAATAATGTCCTTTTGGCCCCAAAAAAATTAAATTTTAGCCTATTTACCAAGAATTTCAGAAATGACCATATGATCTGAGCGCCATTTTTATGCCATTTTTAAAACCCTGGTCCAAGGTTCATTGGAATGCTTCAGAGAACCAAACTCAGTTACACACCTCAGATGAAGTCCCAGAGATGGCATGACTACAGAGAATTAAAGACGCCAGTCCCAAAAACTTAGAAAACAAATTCAAGC